AACGTGGCGGGCGCCCCGCCTGGTCCCTTCCCGCTGGCGGACCCTGCGGCGGCCGCCGCCCTGCCGCCTGCTGCCCTGCCGCCACCCCCTGGCGGGGAAGGGCGGCGCCGCCTGCGGGGGCCGCGGCCCCGCTGGCGATGCCCCCCGCGGCCGCGGCCGCTGCGGCGGCCCCTCTCGGCGTCGCCCCTGTTGTCGCTGCGCTGGCCGCCGCGCTGGGGGCCGCCCCGCCTGGGCCCGTGGGGGCCTTGCCGCTGGTGCCAGCACCTGCAGTGGAGGCTGCGCCTCCCGCCGCCGCCCCTGCGGCGCCCGCCCCCGTCGGAGATTGCAGGGTCCTCCCGATGCAGCTCAACCCGATGCAGCTCAACCCGAGGTTCGGTGAGACCGTCAACGCCCTCTCGGAGACGCCTGTGCAGGGCTGGCCTGCGCAAGGGCCGCGGGCGATCCTCTGGTGCTCGTCCTTCATGTCGACGATGGCGGGTACGCCCACAGCGTGGCGCCAGAGGTGGCCCACCTCGATGGCGTTGCCCGACGAGGACGAGTACGCGAAGCCCCGCGAGACCCTCTGCCGCGTCCTGGACCTCGCCGTCGTGTGCGACCAGCTGCAGATCGCCGAGATGGCCTCGTTCGAGATCGTCGCCCGCCAGCTCCAGCTCCTGGAGGAGCGGGCGTGCGAGACGCGATCGGCGCCTCAGAGCGGCGCAGCCCCCAAGGCCAAGGCCGCGGCCAGAGGCGGCGCCTCAGCTGGGACCCCCAGCTCGCCTGAGACCAGCTACTTCCTCGGCGCAGGCGTCTCAAAGGCCAACCTCTGCATCTCACCAAAGTTGCTGGAGTACATCGCAGACCAGATGATGGCGGAGGCCGCCATCAGCAAGGAGCGCCGCAAGGCTCGCGAGGAGCTGGCCTTGCGGGCGCCATGGCGCCTGAGAACTTCAGGCCTGGCTGTGGGGCGCGCCACAGTGGCGCCAGCCAGGCTCATTGCCCCCTCACTGCACACCCCCTTCGGCAGCGAGACGTTTTTCCCCTCCACCCTATACCTGTGGAGCGAAGATCGGGCACTTCATCCATGGGCGGGTCGGTCCGCAGACGGGTCGCCAGAGGGGCTGCTTGGCGCGAGTGGTACAACGACGCGGTATCCACTCTCAACGACATGTACCACTGCGACCCGAACGATGTGATCGGCCCGCCCCCTGGTCTTCCTCCACGCGCTCGTAGTGACGATGAGGAGTATCTTGCTCAACAGTATCGCGATTTTGAACTACCTCCTGGATATTCTGAATCTCCCCAGAGATGCGAGGCAGCCCTCGCAGAGTTGCTCGCATCGGCGCCTGGGTACTCTGGAGAGTCTCGGGTAAGACCCTACAACAAGGAGCTCGTCTCCTGGCCGAAGCAGATGGCGCCCGTCCCGACGGCCGACCTCGTGTCTGAAGCTGATCGTTCTGTGTTGTCAGGGTGGAGGCATCAAATGCTACGTGACCCTGCTGATGCAGCTGCTCTCAGGAAGGACTCGGGACTGGGGTCGCCCTATGTGGATCCACGCCTTCGGTGTCGGCCTCGGGAGTATGCTGATTTTCTGCTACGCCTGGACCAGGCTGGCATGCTTGAGTGGGAGGTCGCCGATCGTCAGGCTACCTTTTCTATTGGCTTTTTCTTCGTCGAGAAGTCCAACGGCGTCAACCTGCGGCTCGTCTTCGACACGCGGGTGGCCAACATGTCCTTCTCGGCCCCTCCTTCTACGAGATTGCCGACTCCGTCGGCATGGAGCGCTCTCGAGGCCGACCGCGACTTCTACGTGGCCCAGGGGGACATTCAGTGCGCATGTTACCATATGAAGCTACCGCCACATCTGCATCGATATTTTTCTCTGCCCGTCGTCCCGAATCGGTACTTGGGCTTCAAGCGGCTCAGCGGCGTGGACATCGGGACGGACGCCTTTCTGCAGCCGTTCGTCTCCGTCATGCCGATGGGCTGGTCATGGGCCCTCCACTTCTGCCAGTCCGCCCTGACCGCGGCGATCCTCGACTCGGGAATCGACGAGAGCTCCATGCTGGTGGGCGGCGCTGCCATCCCTCCGTTGCGGAAGGACTCCGACGTCATCGGCGCGGGCTACGTAGACAACTTTGCCACCGTGTCCCTTGACCCCGAGGTGGCCACGACGGCCTGCCAGGCCATGCGTGACGTGCTCGTGTCGAGGGGTCTGCCCGTCGACGAGTTCGCCCCCGCCGCCAAGAGCGTGGTCTTCACTGGCTTGGACATCCTCGGCGACGTCGGCATCGTCCGCTGTAAGATCGACAGGCTCTGCCGGTTGCGTCAAGCCTTGCTCGGTCTACTTAGACGTGGCTTTGCATCGCCCTTGGCCTTGTCAGCAGTAGTGGGTCACTGTACGTGGGGTATGATCACCAATAGACCCATGCTGTCGATCTTCCACTCAGTCTACCGCTTCATGGGCCTGGACTCCCGAGTGGCCGCGCCGCTGTGGCCGTCGGTCATCGCCGAGCTGCGCGCGGCGGCCGCCCTCATACCGCTATGGTGGGCCGACGTCAGAGCAGAGTGGTCGGCGACTACCTTCTGCAGCGACGCCTCCCCCTGCGGCGTCGGGGTCTGCCGCAAGGCCGTCGACCAGGAGGTTGCCGCGGCCGCTGGGCGCTTGTCCGAGAGATGGCGCTACCGGTTCTCCGACGCCGTGCACGCCCGTGCCCGCGCGCTCGGGATCGAGCCTCGCTCTGTGTTAGAAGCTACCGTGGACAAAAATTGCCTCGAATAATGCCGCCTCAGTCCGAAGCCTCCTAAGATCCCCGGGGGGCCCTCCGTCTACGGCATCATCGTTACATCAACCAGCTGACGCTGCTTCTCTCGACGGCTTCGATGAGGTTCCCGACTCGATCACGGCTTCCGACGGCTGGGCCACGATACACAGTTCGCGTCATTCAAGGTTCGGCTTGGACATTATGCGATACGAGGCGGAGGCTCTCGGGTTTGCGCTGCGACACTCGGCTCGGTCTGGACGGCTTCGTCATCATCGCATCTTGTTCACCGTTGACAATTTGGCTCTAGCTCTTGCCGCTGGCAAGGGCCGTTCTGGCGCCCGAGGCCTCCGCGACCCTCTACGCCGACTACGCGCCCTGTCGGCGGCCACGGGCATCCGCCACGCCATTCGGTGGATCCCCAGTGAGAGCAATGCCGCTGACTCGCCGTCCAGGACTGGCTTCTTCGTCGGGCCGACCTTCGAGGAGCACCAGGCGCTTGCATCCCGAACTTCGAAGGCAGCGGACCACGACGCTGGCGGAGCAGAGGACCAGGGCCCATCCTGGGCCCGTGCTGCTCGCCCGAGTGGCCCTGTCGGAGCTGGAGACGGCCGCCGCGTCGGACACGACCATGGCCAACTACTGGGATGCCGCCAAGAAGTTCGAGGAGCGGTGCCGCTGGGCGTCCCAGACGTTCGCCACGACGGAGGAGGTCGGTGTCATCCTAGTTACCTACTTCGTGAACCTCTTTCTGGACGGCTTCGACAGTGCCACGGGCCGGGTACTCATGCCCGCTCTGAAGCACTACCTGCCCGCGATCCTTGCTGGCAGGACCCCGTGCCCACGGGCGGCTCGCGCCTTGACAGGCTGGCGGAAGCTCGTTTCCCACTGATGCGACTCCGTCTACCTCGGGCGGCGATGGCATCCATCGTGGGCGTCCCGATAGCGTGGAAGCTCTTCGGCGTGACTGCGTGCATCAGGCTGATGTTCGACACCTACCTGAGGCCAAGCGAGGCCCACCGCCTCACGGCGGGGAGCGTGATACGACCTCGACCCGTGCACGACGAGGGCCCGACCGACGGCCTTTGGACCTTCGCCCCCGACGCGGTGCGGAGCATGTTCCGTCGAGCAGCAGCCGCCCTCGGTCTGGAGATCGAGTTGATTCTCTACTCGCTTCGTCATGGGGGTGCGTCCGACGACCTGCTGTCGCTCAGGCGCACGACGAACGAGGTCAAGGACCGCGGCCGCTGGAGGACGGACCAGATCCCTCTCCGCTTCGCCAAGCGGGCCCGCATGCAGCAGCGGATCGCCAGCCTAGGCCAGATCATCGTCGAGTTCAACGAGCAGGTGGACTGGCAGATGAACGACCTCATCCTCCAGACCACGGCCTCGGGCGTCTTCCCACGGCTGGCGCCGCTGGCAGTGACGCCGACGCCGCCTGCTGTCAGGCTGCCGCCCCCACCGATCACAGCACGGTGGGCATTCGCCTGACGCGCCTGTGGCGCGCTGCCAGGCGGGCTTCTACGAGAAGCAGGCGCTGCCCTGCGCTGGTGCTCGGCTGTGACGGAGGGGCGGCCCGCGCCCTGTAGCAGATGGGCTTCGGCGTCGTGCACCTCGACACGAGTCGCCACGCAGGTGACGACATCACCGATCCCGCAGTGATGCGGCGCGTTTTAGGCTGGATTCGTTCTAACTGCATCTCGTGCGTGTGGGTGGAACCCGACACCGCCACCTGCTTTCGCCATTCGCCTGCTGCGCGTTCCAAGCTGCATCCTCGCGGCCTCCCGACCTTGACCAACTTTAAAGCTCGATCTGTTTGCATCGCCAACCTTTTCCAGGATCAGTACCTGCACGTCCTGCCTGAATGCTGTGGTAAGAAAGTGCCCGCCATATTGTGCCACCCCGGCGCGTCTTTTATATGGGATGGCCGTGCGTGCACCTCTCTTGTGAGCCAGAGTTCTTCTTCGACATTTTTCGACTCCTGCATGTACTCTGGCCGCGTCAAAAACAGATTTCGACTTGTTGGCTGGAACGTGAAAGATATTGATAGGCTATCCCTGGCCTGTTCACCTGTTGCCTCGCCGTGCCGTCGCACTCGGAAGCGACATCTCGGCGAGTTAGGCATCCCATCATTAGACCGTCAGAGGCGCAGCGCTGCGCTCCACCCTCCTGCCTGTATACTACGATGCGCATGTGAAATGATGGCCAACAGTGTCGATAGCCTCCGATACGTCTCCCGACTATCCAGGTGTGTGTGAGTTTTCATTCAAGTATTGCGGCTTGCAGCCAGTGTCTTGGACTAGCCATAATACCTGGTGCTGGCCCCTGCGGCATCAGATTTCGTGTCCTCGCCTGGCGCCCTCTTGCACAAAAAGAATCGTCTGACCACGGAGTCGTCCACATTATGCTGCCCGCGGCTATTTGTGGTTCTCTTTCGGGCCGCGCTTCCATTCTCAAGTCTCCCCCCCCCCATTTGTTCCCAACTCAAGAATGTGTCTTTAGCCTGGTGCTGGCCCCTGCGGCATCAGATTTCGTGTCCTCGCCTGGCGCCCTCTTGCACAAAAAGAATCGTCTGGCCACGGAGTCGTCCACACCATCATCATCATCATCATCATCAGCATCATCATCATCATCATCCGATCTGTCGGGGAAGCGTTCACTACCCCCCCCCCCCCCGTGGACCCCGATTTTTGATACCCCCAGGGTCATTCCAGAGTTTCTTGGATCGCCACCTAAACCTCCGAAAAATTCTCCCGCGCCCCGTTCATAGAACGCCCAGAACCAATAGAACACCGAAAACAATGTCGTCGTAGTCGTCGTCGTCGTCCTCCTCCTCCTCCTCCTCCTCCTCCTTCGTGTCACAATTGGCAGGGCGGCTACGAGGGCGTGAGAGAGATCACGAAGCGCATGCGCTATACCTTCGGCTGGAGCACGACGGCTGGGGCGGTGGACAACTTCGTATATGAGGACTCGAACGAGACGTACATCGCCGACGAGGAGCCTCTGGGCTGGCGTCTTGAACAATAGGTGATGTGTGGTTCCCTGGCCCCTTGCGACCTTCGGGGCATTCCCGCATCCACCATGCTTGAGATATTCCGCGTGAACGGGGGTCAAGTTTCGCTACGTTGCTTCGACGACGTGAGGCGTTCGGATCCGTCAGCGTCGCTGGTTGGTCGCTGTAGTACCCTGGCCCAGACAAGGTGGTGCATCCATTCCCCTGCACGTCCACCTCAATTGCTCCCTCCTTAACAACCGTTGTAGACAACGCCCCCAAAGACGAGGAAGAGAAATGAGGCCCGCCGATGTCTCAACCAGACCCCCCTCCCCTCATGGATGACACTGCGCATTGTGCCTGATAGGCCTGCGCACAGCAGGCCATACGCCACCACCTGACAGTGATCGCGCCTGACAGTGATCGCGGGGTGGCCGCGCATGATCCAGATTTTGCCGCGGGGTGCATTTTGTATTGTTCTTTGTCAGGGGTGGTAGCCTTGCACGCAGCAGGTTCTATGCTGACGCCCTGCGGCCCCTTTCAAAAAGCAATGCAAAGTGCTCGCGGGCCTCGCGAACATGACTCCAGGCTTTGCCCCAGCGTGTACTTTGTATTGTTGTTGAAAGAGATAGTATGGGGGGGGGTCCTCATGAGGTCCTCTTTGTTCCTGGTTGGCTATTGGTCGCGTGGGGAAGGGGGTGTATATGATTAGAGAACATTGCTAAACCGCTCCCCTTTCCCCGCATGGGAAGAGGGAGGGATTGGAAGAGACACCGCCCTAGACCACCTACGCCCAGAGGGCTAGTAGGATTACGATACTGACGGTACTGAGATTGACGATTCTTACGATGATGATGACGACGGCGATGATGATGATGATGATGATGTTGTTGTTGATGATGATGATGCTGGTGATGTTGATGTTGATGTTGATGCTGATACTGATGATGTTGATACTGGTGGTGATGATGAGGATGATGATGGTGATATCGTTGATGATGGTTGTGATGATGATGCTGATGCTGATGTTGATGATGCTGCTGATGAGTATACTGATGATGATACTGATGATGATGATGATGGTGGTGATGTCAATGATGATGCTACTGATGATTATGCTTGTGGTTGTGGTGGGAGATGATGACGACGGCGATGATGATGGCGACGCTGGTAGTGTTGAGAATGATGTTGATGATGATGGCGGTGCTGATGGTGTTGCTGGTGACGTGATGATGACGCTAGGCAATATGTGTTTGATGTTACTCGTTAGGTTGTTGTTGATGATGATGCAGGTGATGATGAGGATGCTGATGACGATGTTGTTTCTGATGGTGATGATGTTGTTGCTGATGATGATGATGATGATGATGGTGGTGTTGATGATGATGGTTGTGAAGGCGATGATGGTGATGATGTTTCTGATTAGTTAGATGACGCTGATGCTGTTTCTGATGATGATGGTGATGGTGATGAGGGTGTCGCCGCTGTGGCTGCTGATGATGATGATGACGACAACGCTGATGCTGATGATGCAGATGCTGATGCTGCTGATGATGATGGTATTGATGGCGACGACGGTGATGATGATGCTGATGATGATGTTGATGATGATGGTGGTGGTGATGCTCATGATGATCTTGATCATGCTCATGACCATGGTCATAATCTTGGTCGTTATTCTCTGATGATTATAGCGATGGTGGTGACGATGTCGATGACGATGCTGATGCTAACGATGATGACGACGACGATGATGATCAGGATAGTGATGATAGGGATGATGATGATGGTGATGGTGATGGTGATGATGCTGATGCTGCTGATGATGATCTGATGACGATGACGATGATGGCTGCTGCTGGTGCTGCTGATGATGACGACGATGATGCTGATGCTGATGCTGTTGCTGCTAATGATGATGCTGATATTGATGCTGATGATGATGATGATGATGATGATGATGATGATGGTGATGGTGATGGTGATGATGATGCTGATGATGCTGATGATGCTGGTGATGGTGATGGTGATGGTGATTATGATAGTGATGATGATGATGATGATGATGATGATGATGATGATGATGATGATGATGATGGTGATGGTGATGATGATGATGTTGATGATGATGATGCTGATGATGATGACGATGATGCTGATGATGATGACCAGGAGGAGTAGGAGGAGCAGGAGTAGGAGGAGGAGTAGGAGGAGGAGGAGGAGGCGGAGGAGGAGGAGCAGGATTAGGAAGAAGGACGAGACGGTGGGAGAGGCGTCGGATTCGTGGTGGAGGGGGGAGAGGAGAAGGGAGGAGGGCAGGAGAGGCCAGGGTGGAAGAGGAGGAGGAGGAGGTGAAGAAGCGAAACAAAAACGGGGGAGGGAAGGAGGGGCAACAGTGTGCTGAGGCGGGCGCACAATGAGGAGGACGATCAGTGGCAGGACGAGGAGGATGACGAGGAGTGGAGGAGTTTCGGCGCCGACCCGGGAACTGAGTGCTATGCCTTCGCCCTATCGTCGAACTGGCGGCCTTCGCCCCATCATCTGACTGGAGGCCTTCGCTCCTCGTCCCGCCCTCCTCCTTCCCTATCCTCTCCGCCCTCGTCTCCCCCCCACCCCCTTTCCACCGAGGGGGGCCTCTGCTCCCCTCCCCTCGGCCCCCGCGCCCTTCGCTCCTCCACTCCTGGTGCTTCTCCTTCTCCTGCTCGTCCCCCCTCTTCTCCTCCCTTTCCCTTGGGGCGTCGCCACGCCATGCTCTGTCATGCTACGCGTTAATCTTCAACGCCATGCTATGCCATGTATTGTTATGCCATGCTGCGACATCCGACTGTGCGAATAGAGAGGAGATATACGCCATGGTAAGTGATGGGAGGGAGGGGTAGGACGTCAGTCACGACGCGAGCGCACCTAGCTTGTCTCCTCCCTCTCCCCCTCTTTTTCCTGCTCCGGCCAGTGCCGAGGACATCAGGAACAGGATGATGGACAAGAACCCAGAGGCCCTCCGAGAGATGGTGACCACCTTCCTGGAGGCTCCTCGTCAGACCTACGGGCCTGAGGACGCACGTATGCTGCAGGGAGGGGGTGGGCGCCGTTTCTGTGAGCAATTGAGGAGAGAGAAGGAGGGAGGAGGAGGGGGGATGGATGATGGACGGTCTGGAGGGCCGGGGATGCGGAACGGATGAAAAGCCGAGCGAACGTATCGATCCCCTGCCGTCTGCCTGCGCAACTCCCTGACCTGCGTCTGCCTGCGCCCCTCCCGCACCACTTTGCGGTCGCCACCCCGGAGGCCAATTCCAAGGGCCACTGGGACACCGACGAGGCGAACATCGAGCGGCTGAGGGAGGTCTCGGCGGCCTGGCAGCTGTGGTGTTGCACTGTGCCATCCGAGCCGTGATCCGCTCATTACGACTGTGGCCGCCAGCACATCCTTACGAGCCAGCTGCTCCGTGGGCGCACGCGCGTGCATATCCGCGTTTTGTGGTTTTCAGTTAGCATCGACGTGCATCTCTCCTCCACGCGTGGGAAAGCAGGGCCGCGAGTCTCGTGTCACATCATACCGTTCACCGTGTGAGCTTCACGACCATGTCGGTCTGCATTCGTGGGTATTGCGCTCGTTTTGTTGTTTTTCGAGCTTTGCTTCTGCGGGAACAACGTGTGTGCCTACGGCCCGAGGAGGCCCCAGGTGAACGGCACGAAGTCAACACGAATGTAGAGTCGAGAGATCCCGAGCCGCGCTACATCCACGGGTGTGGACACCAATTTGGCGGTTTCGTGTTTTTTTTTCTTGCGTGCTATCTATGTTTCATCCACCAGGCTTGAGCAGTCCGACGCACCGAATCAGGCTGCCACACTCAAGGGCAAGAAGTAGTCCTAAAACTTTCGAGCGTTCAGTCGTCCCGCCGTCTCTCCTTGACTCCTGGCAGGTCTACCAGGAGTGCGAGGACAGGATTGAGGGCGTGGACTTCATGGAGTAAGTCATCTATGAAGTGAGCTCACTTAGCCACCCACTCCAAGTGCCTCGGCTCAGCAACGGTAGTGTGCGAATATATCGAATGGCCGTCGGCCCATCCCGCCACCGAGCTTGCGCTGCGTTTCGGAAGTCCTGGATCAGTCGAGAGCGGTGGTTGACGTTCGCTCTCCAGGAGTGCGGGTGGAAGTACAGTGAGCGGCTTGAATAAGGAACGGTTGTTTTTCAAAAGGGGCTCGGTCGTTCCCTAGGGTTGCATGCATTATTTTTCGTTCCCTACGCGTGTTGTATTATTGATCGTTATTTGTGCGTTTACTCCTTGGATAAAGGGGCTTCGTTTCTTATTCATCGTTCCTTAGGTCAGGCCGATGATTGTACTCGCGATGGACGACGACGACGACGACCACGACGGGATTGTTGGGGTTGTGGGCCAGAGGCCTCTTGGTTGCATTGGGGTCTCTTGGGGTTGTGGGCCACAGGCCTCTGGGATGCCTCTTGGGGATCTCTTGGACGGCTCTTGAGGGCTTCGGGGGGGCTTCTTGGGACCTCTCGGGGCTTTCTTCGGAGCCTCTTGGGGGCTCCTTTCGGGCGCCTCGGGGCCCTCTGGGGAGCCCTTGGGGGCTTCCTGGAGTCTCATGGGAGACCTCTTGGAAGCCTCTTGGGCCGCTCTTTCGCAATCTTGGAGGTCTCTTTGGCCGTCTTGAGACCTCTCTGAGCTTTCTTGAGGGCCTCTTGGGCCGTCGTTGGCGCTATAAAGATGGTAAAGGCGCATATGCCCGCCATGCACGCTTTCCCAAAGAAATGTGACGATTTTGATTCCTTAGAGTCTTCTGGGGAGTCCTGCTGGAGCTCTCTTGGAACGTGTTGCGGGGCCCTTGGGCCGTCTTCAGGCCATTTCGGGCACCTTGGAAAGCTCTTGGGCCGTCTCGGAGGCCTCTCGGACCCTCCGGGGGTTGGCCCGTTTTGGGACGCTCCTGCGCGGTGTCACCGTCCCGGAGGCCCACGCGGAACACTCTGAGAGCGCCCGGCAGCGACCGAGAGCGTTTTGGAAACGGACGGACCGGTTTTTTTCAGAACGCAGCGATTTTCCCTTCTACTTCTCAGAACTGAAGGAGCCTTGGGGGCTTAGTGGGCCCTGGAAACGACAGGGCCGTTTTTCACCGGTTCCGTTTTACCGTTTCTGTTGCCGGTTCCGACGCCGTTTTTTTACTGGTTCCGTTGTCGTTGTTTTACCGGTTCCGGCTCCAGTTTCAATCCTGGAGCCGTTTTTTTTGCCATTTCCGTTTTTTGCCGTTTCCATATTCAAGATATGTTTCTCGGAAACGGTGAACAAAACGGGCCGTTTCCGAGGCCCTCTAAGTTTGGTGCGCCTCACCACCTGCTGAAGGCACGGTGGCGGATAATTTCTTGTTAAGTCAGTGTTCCGTAGCGCCCGTGCTGCTCTCAGCTGTGCCCTGTAGCGCATCAACGCCCTATCGTCGGGGCCGCTTTTTTTTAACAATGGCAAGTTCACTTGCGTTGCCGCCCCCCGCCCCCCCGCAGCACGCTGCAAACGCAGCGGCCGGCGGGCGCGCTGCCAAGGTAGTGGTCGCCTGCCCATGTCAAAGGTGACATCACAACCATATCGGGAAGCACTTGTTTCGAGGGTGCGGGCAGTTTCGCACATGTCGTGGCTTACCTGATGTTTGAACCTGGCCCTGGACCCAGAAACGTGCCTTCGGATGTGGGTACGGAGTTTCAGCTTGCTACCGAGGTGGGATGCGCGCCCCACGTTTCAGCCGGCACTGCCTACTGCGTTTTTTTTAACGGCCGGCCCGAAAGGACCGCGCTTGCCCGCTCACGAGGCGCACTTGAAAGATACCCTACTGATTGTGTTGCTAATCCTCTTACTGTTGCTGCTGTGCACTGCCTTCGATTCCTATTGTTATTATCATTATCCGTTAGGGGCTTCGCCCCCTGCCGCCGGCCCCCTCTCTCGGATAATGGGTTATGCAAGAGCTAAATCATGAGGCCTCGGCGCCGCCGTGAAGCAGCATCGGCAAGAGAAATTGAGATTCTGATGATATTGTCGAACTCAGTGTTGCATTTTGAGCCTGCCTCCGTATGCTGTGCACATGTTTCCCACATCATTTCGGACATGTGGCAAATCCCATTGGTTTTTCGACCCTGACCCCGGCGATCTGCGTGAGGGGTGCCGCCGAATTCACCCCCCCCCAACTTTGCAAATCCCATTGTTTATTCGACCCTGACCCCGCCGATCTGCGTGAGGGTTGCCGCCAAATTTCAGAAATGTAGCAAATCCCATTGGTTTGTTCGACCCTGACCCCGGCGATCTGCGTGAGGGGTGCCGCCGAATTTCAGAAATGTCACAAATCCCATTGGTTTTCGCCGCTGACTCCGCCGATCTGCGCGAGGGGTGCCGCCGAATTTTTGAAATGTGGCAAATCCCATTGGTTTTTCGACCCTGACTCAGCCGATCTGCGCGAGGGGTGCCGCCGAATTTCAGAAAATGTGGCAAATCCCATTTGTTTTTGGACCCTGACCCCGCCGATCTGCGTGAGGGGTGTCAATTTCGACCCCCCAGAAATTCGGAGAACCCTCCCAGTAGACGCTAATCAGACCACTTTTCGGCTCCCCCTCTCGCGCGGTTTACAACAAAGAACAGTAATACAACAATTACGCTACCGAGGAACCCCACATACTTAACTTAAATCTTGTGTGTTTGCTTAAGTTTATAATATATGCGCAATTCTGCGTTCTCAGCCCTCGTCGCGAATGTTCCCCTATGTGTCATCCAACGCCATATTGCTTGAACCTCCTCCCTCTTCCTAGCCTTCTATCCTCCGTCGAGGACAGATTCGAGCCAGCGGCCGCGGTGAGGGACCACCCCCTGCGCACCCTCGATGGTGTCGAGAAAGTGCCACGCCTGCTATGCCCTGGACGACCGTCGTGCGGAGCGGCCGCGGTGAGGGACCACCCCTTGCGCAGCCTCTGTGGTGTCGAGAAAATGCCGCGCCTGCTATGCCCTGGACGACCGTCGTGCATAGCAGCCGCGGTGAGGGACCACCCCCTGCGCACCCTCTATGGTGTCGAGAAAGTGCCACGCCTGCTATGCCCTGGACGACCGTCGTGCATAGCGGCCGCGCTGAGGGACCACCCTCTGCGCACCTCCTGTGGTGCCGAGAAAGTGCCACTCCTGACACGATCTGCGAGCGTGTCACGGATAGAGGCCGCGCTGAGGGACCACCCTCTGCGCACCCCCTGTGGTGTCGAGAAAGTGCCACTCCTGCCAAGATCTGCGAGCGTGTCACGGATAGAGGCCGCGCTGAGGGACCACCCTCTGCGCACCCCCTGTGGTGTCGAGCAAGTGCCACTCCTGCCACGATCTGCGAGCGTGTCACGGATAGAGGCCGCGCTGAGGGACCACCACCCTCTGCGCACCCCCTGTGGTGTCGAGAAAGTGCCACTCCTGCCACGATCTGCGAGCGTGTCACGGATAGAGGCCGCGCTGAGGGACACCACCCTCTGCGCACCCCCTGTGGCGTCGAGAAAGTGCCACGCCTGCCACGCCCTGCGAGCGTGTCACGGATAGAGGCCGCGCTGAGAGACCACCCTCTGCGCACCCCCATGTGGTGTCGAGAAAGTGCCACTCCTGACACGATCTGCGAGCGTGTCACGGATAGAGGCCGCACTGAGGGACCACCCTCTGCGCACCCCCATGTGGTGTCGAGAATGTGCCGCGCCTGCCACGCCCTGCGAGCGTGTCACGGATAGAGGCCCCGCTGAGGGACCACCCTCTGCGCCCCCCCAGTGGTGTCGAGAAAGTGCCGCGCCTGCCACGCTCTGCGAGCGTGTCACGGATAGAGGCCGCACTGAGGGACCACCCTCTGCGCACCCCCATGTGATGTCGAGAATGTGCCGCGCCTGCCACGCCCTGCGAGCGTGTCACGGATAGAGGCCCCGCTGAGGGACCACCCTTTGCGCCCCCCCAGTGGTGTCGAGAAAGTGCCGCGCTTGCCACGCCCTGCGAGCGTGTCACGGATAGCGGCCGCGCTCAGGGGCCACCCCCTGCGCACCCCCTGTGGTGTCGAGAAAGTGCCACGCCTGCTGTGCCTGGACGACTGTCGTGCATAGCGGCCGCGGTGAGAGACCACCCCCTGCGCACCCCCTATGGTGTCGAGGAAGTGCCACGCCTGCCACGCCCTGCGAGCGTGTCACGGATAGAGGCCCCGCTGAGGGACCACCCTTTGCGCCCCCCCAGCGGTGTCGAGAAAGTGCCGCGCCTGCCACGCCCTGCGAGCGTGTCACGGATGGAGGCCCCGCTGAGGGACCACCCTCTGCGCACCCCTTATGGTGTCGAGGAAGTGCCACGCCTGCTCGCCTGCCGCATGGCTTGCCGTGTGTATGTGTATGATGCGTGTGCGGCCATATCGGGACATGTCTCACGTGTTGCCCAGTATGTCGTGCAGACGTCTTGGGTGTATGATGCAGTGAACATGCGTCTTGTATGTGCGAATGTGTGCATGCGTGCGGCTGAGTGCGAGTGTGTGGGTGAGGAGGCGGGAGGTGTGTGAGACGCGGGTGCGGCGCGGCAGGGAAGAAAACCAGAACCCCACGACGAAGCATGTGGGGAAGAAGCAGAACTGTAACAGTGGAAACTGGAAACTGGAACTGGTGCAGGGAACAGCAAACCCTCGTCATACAGCCTGGTGGCCCCACAAGGGGGCCGGCGGATTATCCTTATCCTCCCTCTCCTTATTATTTCTGCGGATCCTCTTTATCACCCCCACCCCCTCCTCCGCCTCTGACACCTCCCGTCTCTACCCTCCCTGCTCCATCGTTTCTCCTTCATCCCTCTCTCTTGCTCCCTCTCCCCTCCTCAAATCTCATGTTCCTCCTGTTTCTCCCTCCTGCGGATTGAGACCAGACAGCGGGTGTGCACGTCAGCTCGATCAGAAGCAAATGGAGGTCGAGTTATGAGGCCGACGCGAAATGGACGCTCCCAGTCGTAAAAGCGATTTCGACGATTTTGTATTGTGCGTGACGTGCGTGCGTGCCCTGTTGTGGGATGCTCTGCAACAGAGCCGCAAGGCTTGGCGGGTTGTCCTGGGGTTGTCCCGTGGGTTGTCCCGGGGTTGTGCCGCGGTTGCCCCCGTGGCTGTCCCGATGGTTGTCCCGGGGCTGTTCTGTGGTCGTCTCATGATTGTCCCGCTTGTCCTGTGGCTGTCCCGTGGTTGTTTTGTGATTGCCCAGTGGTTGTCCCGCGGGTGTCCTGTGGGCGTCCCGTGGGTGTCCCGTGGTTGTTCCACGATTGGTGCACGGTTGGGTCCTCGCCGTGATTGCCCCACGATTGATCAATGAAATAGCGAGTTCGATGAATTGATAGTCGGATCGATCGACATATTGCTAATGATGAGATCGATGGATGTGATCGATTGATCGATCTCGGGTCAGCAGATAGAGATCGATATCGATTGATATGTATGTCTATATGCGTTTTCAGACCTCAGTGATTCGCACTCAGATCGACGAGACCCGATGGGAAGCTCAGCTGCGAGACTGGTGGGAAGCTGATCCTACCCAGTCGGTGCTGCAGCTTCGCCACAAACGGCTGGTCAATGGCGGGGCTGCGTGGGCCACCGCCCCGGGGACGCATGATCAGCAGAGGCGGCTCGCTTCCGGCGCTTCGGAAGTATCCGCGCGTCTGGTGATGCAGCTCAGGGGGCCTCCTGGCCCTAGACCCGACCAGCTCCTGCAGGCCATCAGCAACGCGCTCGCCACGGCGACAGGGGGGCAGAGGTTTGCCACTATCTCTCCCGATGAGGCGCTGCAGTGCTATACGCTGCGTCCCGAGAGGGGCCCCATGAGAGGTGCGTTCACTGGGCGGCTGGAGGTGGCGGTCCGCTCTGCCGCTGAGGCGAGGCACATCCATGAGCTTTTGAATGGGCGAGGTCTCCAGGTGGGGTTGGACATGCTCTCGCTGGAAGTCCAGCTCGCCTACGTCGGCGGCCAGTCGAGAAACGGCCGCCGGTGCTAGGTGCCCCAGCTGGCCTGCACCGGACCTCCGACGTGGCTGACCTGTTCATGTTTCTTCTGACGTTCTCCGTCCGGCGGGTCGGCGCGGCGGCTTGCGCCCAGACCCCGCCGTCGCTCCCCCCTGCGCGGCCAGCCCCGCGGCTCCCGCGACCGCCCCGGGCTCCCGCCCCTCCTGGCGGCGCTCCGCATGCGCCCAGCGTGCGTTACGACAGCGGCCGAGGACCATACCAGGGCGACGTCCGGATCACGACGTGGAATGCGCAGGGTCTCTTCGCATGCCGGACAAAGGCGCAGAAGCGCAAGCGGGCCCATGCGAAGCGTCTCTTCCACGAGTGCGACGTATTGGTACTCACGGAGACGCACTCCACTCTGGAGACCGAGGCAGCCTTCGCCAGTTTCGAGGATAGTCGGGCCTTTTGGGCCCACGGGACCGCGTCCCGTGCTGGGGTTGGGGTCATATTCCGCGAGTCTTTCCTGCGACAGTTCGATGGGGGCTTCGACTGGCGCGTCTTGGTGCCAGGGAGAGCTGGCGAGTTGTGGCTCAACGGGGAGTTCGGGGACATCTCAATCTTCGGCGTGTACTTTGCCACGGGGTTAGTGGATCGGGAGATTTACACCCCCGGCCCCTTCGGTGCTTAGCATTCCCCCCTCCGCGCGCGCCTCCGTCGCAATTTAGCTCGCGAGGCAAACCGCTCTTCGCCAGAGGAGTGTAGCAAAGCATACAGCAAAACCATTTCTCTTCCACATCTTACTTTTACCATCCATCTCTTGATATTCTTCTTATTCTCCCACTTCGTCTTGAAGATCTTCCTGGCGGTCTTCTCTGCGAAGCGCCGGCTGGCGCTTCAACTCTGGTAGCGGAGCGCTTCGGCGCTCTGCGGCCAAGCTGGGAGGGCATTGAAAAGTGCCTCCCAGCACAAGGACTACGTCTACCACTGCGCAAAGTACAAGTACCCCTTACTTGGCCTGCCCGCCGGCAGGCGAGAAGAAGAAGAAGCGCCGCCACCACTCCCACGCGCCGGACGCAGAGGCTCGGAGGGCGGAGCGGCGCTTGGAGGTCGAGCACGAGAGGGCTACCCGCACCTGCGCGTGCCCTCCGTGGTTGCCGCATTCGGAGTCGTGCAGACGCCGGGTGTGCCTTCGGAGCGACACCCCTTTGGTCTTCAAGGCCGAGGTGGAAGAGAAGCCGGCTGAGGAGGAGGTCGACTGGTCGCCGGACGAGAAGCCGGACGACGAGACAGAAGCTGAGCTGGAGCCCCCGCCGAGGCGCACGCTGACGCCCCCACGCAGGCGCAGCCCAACGCCCCCGCCAGGCAACCCAGCCGACGACCTACGGCGACGACCATGGCGGCAGGAAGCGGCAGCGGTGGCAGCAGCGCGCTTGCGCGGCGCCAGCCGCACATCTTCGGCGCAGCCCCCCACCACTACAGACAGGGCACCGCCGTGGCGTCTACCGAGACACCGCCGTGGTGGAGCCCAGAACTAGAGCACGACGCGGCGTACCCGTACACCATCACGGAATGGACGCGGGACGTGCGACGGTGGATGGCGGCTACCAAGCTCAGCGTGGAGCGCCAAGGGCCCATGCTGAGCCTCGCCCTCGGCACGACGGCGCGGACCATCGCAGACGAGGTCTCGGTGGAAATCCTGCAGCACGGCGCGGTGCTGGACCTCGGTGACGGGCGGGGCGCTGTGGCGAGGACAGGAGTGGATGTCCTCTTGGCGGTGCTGCTCGCCAAGTTCCCTCCCGACCCAGAAGCGCAGATGCTCCGCACAGGGCTGGACTTTTTCAAGTTCACGCCGAGCCGCGACGAGGACCTGCGGAGCATGTTCCTGAGGTTCGACCTCCTATTGGACCGTGCGAACCAGCACACTGAGCTTGGGATTTCGGTCCCTTTCCGGACGTGGATGCTCCTCTCGCTCCTGCGCCTGCCAGCGCGCACATGGGCAGAGATCCTGCGCGAGTGCGACCGCAGGCTCCCCAGGACGGAGCAGGAGTACCAGCTGGTCAAGGCAAGGCTTCTCCGAGACCGAGCGATCGAGGAGAACGTGTCGACTTTCCAGCCGGGCAGGGCTGGGGCGCCGGGCGTGTACTTCGCGGACGCCGACGAGGACCCGCTGCCGCTGTACCTGGCCATAGCGGCCGGCAGCACCGACGGAACGGCAGCTCGCCCCGCCCAGCGCGCTGCGATCGGAAACGGTCAAAGCAGCGAGGCGGCCCAGGACGTCTTCTTCGACCTCGGACAAGCGGCGGGCGACGACGACGGCGAGACGTGCTGGAGCACTGACACCGAGTGGTGGGAGCGGGAAGCCGCCGAGGACCCGCGGCCGGCCGACCGCCTGGAGGCGGAGCAGAGCGCGGCCGCAGGCGACCCCCTCTACCTCGCCCAGGTGTGGTGGGCCGCGCGGACGGCAGAGCGCCGGTGCCGTGCCGCGGCTGGCCGGTTCGCTCCCAAGCACAAGACCAAGCAGAGCCACGTCGGCGTCAAGCGCTACACCAAGCGCGGCCCTCCTCGCGCCGCCGGCGGCCCTCCGAGGCGCGGGTTCTTCGTGGGTCAGACCTTCGTGAGCATGGACCACGTGCCGGAGCTGGACATCAAGGCCTTCTTCGAGGGTCGGTCCCGCGGCTACAACCAGGCCCGCGTCAAGCGGGGCGCCCCCAAGGTCGTGAAGTGCTACCGCTGCGGCAAGCCAGGCCACATGGCTGCCGAGTGCAAGAGCCCGCGCAACCTCTGCTACAACTGCGGACAGCCCGGCCACGAAGCCAAGGACTGCAAGCAGCCGCGCAAAACGTTCTTCGCCACGGAGGACGAGGCGCACCAGCACGAGGAGGAGAAGGAGGAGGAGGCACCATTCACCCTGGGCACGGAGGAGCACTTCATGATCAGGGAGGAGCAGGGGGGCGGAGGAGGAGCAGCGGCAGCAGCGACGAGCAGGGGCAGCAGCGACGAGCATGACGAGAAGCCACTGTGGGAACGCCGTGCTCCGGGTCGCAACTCAGAAGAGACCGCCGCAGCCCCGACAGCCGCTCTCAGCTCGAAGGACGCCGCCGCAGCCCAGACAGACGCTCTCAGCTCGAAGGACACAGCCGCCGCTCAGACACTCGCACAGAACCGCAGCCCCGAGGAGAGGGCACCGGCGCCGAGAGCTTTCCAGGCGGAGGAGGAGGAGGAGGAGGAGGAGGAGAAGGAAGAGGCTCATCGGCAGGATGATGACGATGATGATGGCGCTGTTGGTGCAATTCTTGGGCAGGGGCATAGAAATGTGCCCCGCGGCCCCTTGGCGCAGGACAGTGCCGTCGTACAGGCGCTGCAAAAGAGGCTAACGCCCGCGCAGCCGCTGCAACCCGAGCCGCCGCAGCAGCAACAGCTAGTTGCGCAGCCCTCTTGGGCGCCAGCAGCCCCAGCAGCCCCCCCAGCAGCCACGGAGTGGCCACCGGTGGGGAGCGCGGTTCAGTACGTGAGCCAGGGCGTCGTCATCGCGTACAGCGGAAACACGGTGCTGGTCCAAGACAGCGTCCACGGGTGTGCGATCACCACGCCAATAAAGAACCTGAGGCCTGATGGGAATAGAAATGTTCCCTCCCAGGCACACGTGCCTTCTGGAGGTGGCGCTGGGCATAGAAATGTGCCCGGGGCCAGCAGCGACGCACATAGAAACGTGCACGTTGTAGCCTCCAGCAGCAGTGCTGGCAGTCCTGCCACAGCATGGGCCTCGTATGCGCCCGCTGCCAGCACGCCACCAGCAGCGACGACCACGAAACACACCAAAACACCACCTAGGGATGAGGATGTCGAGTATGTGAACAGGCTTCTAGCCTCAGCTCTTCCATCGCTGCCAAGTTTCCCACTTACGACGGCGATCCCAGCACCAACGCACGCGCTGCAGGGCCACGCTCTGGAGCAGGGACCGCAACGCCCAACAACAGCGACGACGACCACGCAGCAGTGGCCCACAGCAGAACAACGCGCACAGGCTGTTGTCAAACCGGTCCCCGAGACTCCAGCTGACAGCGCACAGCGTTTTCGCTTGACACTGTCAGCCGCCTCACACACGGCATCCTCCTTTGCTGCTGCGTCTTCAATGGCGCCGCCTCCACCGCTCCCAGAAGCAGGGCGGCCTAACCGGAGAGCACCCGCAACAGGGGCATGCGGGCAAGCAGCGAGGAGGGGTGGCAACTGCACCCCGTGCCGACACTGGGAGAAAGGACGGTGCCGAATGTCCACTTGCGTGTTCTGCCACCACCAACCAGCAGCTCCTCAGCCGAGCCCGGGGCCACTGCCCAGCTTCCCTTCTGTAGCGAACAGGTATGCTCCGAGAGTTCCTGCCGTGCCCCCGCGGTGGCAAGACAGTGCTGAGGTAGACCCGCTGGTAGCAAACGACCCCTGGAAACAGTGCGACAAACGCTACCCAGTGTTCGAGTGGGACGAAGACGCACAGAGCAACCTTGAACACCAGAGTGTGTACAACAACACCGAGGCCAAGATCAGCGATGAGGAGGACGGCCTGCTGGTGGACACCGGAGCCCGCAGGAACCTGACAGGGAGGAACTTTGTAGACCGGCAGTCATACGCGGCACAGCGGCACGGCTACAAGACCACCTGGACGACACTAGACCAGCCGAGGAGGATGAGTGGCGTGGGTAAGGGTGCTCAGATAGCACACCGCGCGGCCACCATTCACGGAGTGGTGGGCGAAGGTGATCTGATCTCCTACTCGGCGCCCGTCTTGGAAGACGAGGGTGCCGAAGTCCCCGCCCTCTACGGCCTGGACCCCATGGCGGCGCGCAACACGTACGTGGGCACCCGTACGGGACGATTGCACATGATTCCAGACGGCACAGACGACCAGATCATCTGGCCGAAAGGCACACGGGTGATTGAGTGCAAAAAGGCACGCTCCGGCCACTGGATGATTCCAATCTCCCGGTGGCACAAGCTGAAGAAGAAAGGCGACAAAGTCACCGAGGCATTCGCCGTCTCGGCTGACAAGGGGGTCGCCGATTCTTGACAAACGCCACAGACGCCGAGCACTTTGGACGGCCGGTGCTCGAGCGCTGCAACCTCAAGGCCGCCAGCAGCCATGCGCGCCGTTTCCCCGGCATTGCGTTTGGCACCACAGCCCGCACCCAAGCCCCCTACCACACGACCGCCAGCAACCGACGCCAGCCCCAAACATGAACGCACATGTCCGATGATCTTCCTTGTAGGAGAAAGGTTGGCGACTATAAAAATGACCCTTGGCAAGTATGATCTTCAGCCACGCCGAACATGCCCAATGCTGAACTTCCAGCGTCGCCAGACTTCACCAGATGCTTGCGCTATGCTTCAAGCTATCCACCTTGACCGGCCGACCCTGGTTTGGATCCAGTGGTCACACCTGCTTCAAGAGCCTGGCAGGCGACCGCACGTCCGCACAGCCTTGGAGTTCTTCGCCGGCATGGTACAGGAGCAGCTAAAGCAAGGAGGAGACGTTGTTCTGGAAGCGAAGGCCTGCGACGTTCCAGTGCGAGACGAGCTCTTCGCAGGAGCTAGCCGCATCGGCGGCCTCTTGGGGCACCCCTCTCGCGTGCACTGGTGCGCCTTGGGTATCACGGGAGGCAAAGACGACAAGACGGTGATATGCGGCGAGCACCTCGTGATGTCGAACAAACCCTGGCCAGACATGCCTTGTGTCTGTCAGCGCCAGAGTTCCAGTTACGTGGCGAACGACGGCGCTGCATACGAACAGTTCGCGGAAAAGATCATGACCCACTTCAACATACTCAGTCCCAGCGACATAAAACCTCCCAGCCGCGACTGGCACCGCACCCAGCGACAGCTTCGAGACAAAGCAGGCGCCAGAGACTACGTGAAGCAGCAGCACACCACAGGGCAGCCACAACCACCGCAGCACAAGTTTGTGACCTTCACAGGCGCAGAGGTCCAGACTTACCAAGTTGATGCACATCCCTCACAGCCAAGGGACGAAGTTGCACCGCAGGCAATGGCAACGTTGCTAGCGACGCAACCTCCGCCGCACACCAACGCAGCAGACAAAGCAACCTCCACCGACGACCTTGACACACACTCACAAGCAGCCTACCCGACAGACTCACACGTCAGAGCCAAGAGCAAACGCGCACAACTAGAACGCAACAAAACGCCCGAAGAAGTGAAGGCCATGCGAAAGAAGAAACCTATGACACAAGAGCAGCATTTCGACGATTGTGGCAGCGACACTGAACCTCTCATGGATAACGAAGCCCGGACGGCACTCGCTATGAGCGATCCGTGTGGCGCCGCATTCTGGTTCGAACACTGCGGGGATTGTGTCAAGGAAGACTTCGAGGCGCATCCTGCCATCAGGAAGTGGCCAGAGGGCACAGTCTTTGATTGCGACGGGTGCCGGGGACACAAAGTCCTGGCACCACCCCTCGCACACCCGCAGATCTGAGCCTCCAGGTTTGTGCCGTTACCACGACCGGCCCACTGACGCCATCAAGTGCCCCGCTTGCTTGTCAGGAAAGGACTCCCTAGACCCAGGCCACACCGAAGTGGCTGGAGAGCGCCTTGCCCCCGAGACTCGCTATCGGGATGGACGCAAGCGCCGGGGCGGACCAGTCAGAGATCCAGGCAGCCGAGCGGTGGGAGGAGCAGAGCGGCGGAAACGCTTGACCGACGACGAGCAGCTTGACGACCCAGGGCCTCTTGGAGAAATCCTCGCCGGCCCTCCTGCTGTTGCCGCGGGTGGCTTTGATGCAGAAGATGGCCGCCCAGACTCTTCCGCTGGAGGTGGCGCGGGGCATAGAAATGCGCCTGGTGCCAGCAGCGAGGTGCATAGAAATGTGCACGCTGCAGCCTCCAGCAGTGATTCGGGACCTCTGCTCGCGCCTGCAGGCGAACCACTTCCCGACGCTCCTGAGCAGCCGCCTGAGGTCGGCCCTCCCTCTGCGAAGGAGGAGGAGTTGATGCCGGGCGAGCTGGGCGAGCCGTTGGACCCGAAAGTTCGCAAAACTCGGTCCGACGCTGGGATTGCACGACCAAGCAAGGCAGACGCCGAGACGCAAGAAGGTGTGGGAGGCAAAGAAGACTGGCGCACCGACGACGTTTCTCGCGTAATGGCTAGACTCAAGTCTGACGACGAAGAATTGAGGAAATTAGCCATTCAACGACTACACATCAGCTGGTACCACCTTGCACCCACGCACATGCAAGCGCTCCTGCGAGCAGCCGGCGTGCCAGCACGCGCAGTAGGAGAAGTCCCTGGAGTGGTACAAGGGTGTGATGTTTGCAGAAACTGGCAGGTTCCCACCACAGCCACGGTCACGGCCACACGCCTCATCACGGAGTTCAATTACGAAGTCCAGATGGACCTGTGGTTCCTTCACAGCCTCATCGACAGGCCACAACTCCAGCGAACCATCATGCACCTCATTGACGCCTGCGTGCGGTGGTCGGCGAACGGCCTCCTCAAGGACAAGGAGGAGATCACGCTGTGCACTCGCATCAGTGAATTATGGCTGACCATACACGGGCCTATGAGGACTTTGGTTCAAGACGGAGAATCTGGCATGAAGGGCCGAGCAGTGGCGGACTGGGCGGAGGCGAACCGTATCCAGCTCAAGTACCGGCCTCCCGGTTCGAAAGCCTGGGTTGCAGAGCGGCACCAACAGATCCAACGCAAAACCTTCCACTCCACTGAAGGCCAGATGCAGAAAGAGGGCATCTATGCCCCTGTAGAGCAGACGCTGGCGACCGTCACATTCGCACACAATGCCTTAGTGAACACCGATGGGAGTGTGGCGTACCAAGCCTTGTACGGCAGGACGCCCGCTCTCCTCCCAACCTTCGACGGCGCGACGGAGGCGGAACGTGATGATCGACTTCCTCGCGGCGAGACGCTGGCTCGCAGTCAAGCGCGAATCAGGGAGATCGCCGTGACCAAGATCGTGGAGCACACAGCGAAAGACCGCCTGCGACGAGCAGACCACCACAGGACGCGACCTGCTCTGGAACTCGCGAAGTTGAAGGTCGGACAACAGGTTGACATCTGGTTCGAGCCGTCGTCCAAGGACGTGAGCGGCTGGCGGGGGCCAGCGGTGGTCAAGACGATCCAGCACGACGAGAACGCTGTAACGGTGCGCTACCAAGGCAGGACCCTTGACCGACGTGGCCAAGAGGTGCGGGAACACGTGGCCTACTTGATCTTCTTGGTGAGCCAGAAGCAGCACCCCCACGCACAATGGACTCTATTGCGCGACGCGTGCGAGAGCCTCAGCATCAAGGCGGTGAAAGTCTACGGACTCGTGTACCACGGCGACACACGCAAACCCGGTTGGCATCTGACGAAGGCCAGCCAGACGAAGTCGGGACACCAGGTCTTGGAAGCAGGCCTCTTAGTGGCATCCACGGTGGTTCGCATTGCAGAGTGCACCACTGTGAGACTGTCGCGGGGAGTATCCTCCTTACAGCCGCTGTTGAACTTCAGTTACAGTGAATTGTGGATCTGGCACTCTACGCTCCAAGGCGGGGACGAAGACAATCCCCCATGGTGTTCGACAGTGCGGACGGCGACCTCGACAAGAGCATTGACATCAAGAACTTAGCCAGCAACGACCCGACCATCCATTCCGGGGAGGCCTCTTGGAGAGATTATTGCGTCGTACAGTTCTTGGGGACGAAGCCCGAGGACACGGAAGGCCTGATCAGACGGTATCCTGGCATACGCCTGATGGCTGGGAACGGCCAGGTAAGTAGAAAGGACAGGCCTCCATTCTCGCCAGCTACGGCTTCCCCGAGCGGTTCGCAAGGGCCGCCTGGTACACCGACGACAGCACCACGAGCATCGACGCCAGCACCACGAGCCTCGACGCCAGCACCGCGTGCACCGACGGCAACACCACGAGCATCGACGCCAGCGCCACGATCAGCGACACCAACACCACGAGCACCGACGTCGACTCAGAGGGCACCGGCGCCGACACCAGCGCCGAAGGTGCCGGCACCGGCGCCGATAGGACCTCTCTTCACTCCACCTCCACCACCTCCAAGGTTTGATGCGAGCAGGTCCCGGTCGCGACCGACGGACGCACAAGATGAGAGTCCCATGCTGGATGTCGTGATCAAGACGCCAGCTCCGCCTCCTTCACCGCCTGAGGGCGGAGCAAGCTGCAACAAATCGACACCAGCATTAGCTGCATCCACGCGGTCGCGGACGCCAGCGTCGCAGCAGTCGTCACTCGATGTGATTTTGACGACGCCTCCGCCGCCGCCAGCACCGCCAGGAGGAGGAGGCGGCAGAGTACGGCAATCCATGACACGATCAAGATCGACGCCAGGTGGAAGCGAACCGAAACACATGTCATCAGATATGCTGTTTCTTCCTACTCCGCCTCCGCCGCCGGCTCCACCAGCAGCCGGAAAGGTTACGATGACAAGATCGCGATCTCCATGGACAACGGCATCTTCGCCAATTTTAGGGGCCATGCGAACCCCTCCACCACCGCCAGCGCCACCAGCACCTCCAGCAGCAGGCAAGATTGCAGCCACTCCGCGCTTTCGATCGCCGTGGTTGCCATCACCACCAACTCCTATGGAGACGGTGTTGCAAGGCGGTGGAACGCCACCTCCTCCCCCGCAGCCTCCAGGACAGACAGCGCCAACACCGAGGTCTCGCTCGCCACCAGGGCCGAAGGCGACACCGATCGCAAGCGCGACTACAGCCACCAGACCACCTGGGCCACTTCCATGGCCAGCGATGGGATCTCAAGCAAACGTTTGGGATCTGGTGGGAGCCCCAAGACGTAAGGAGACCCACACTCCTCCACAGCAAGAGGCCGCTCCAGAGAAGAGGAGCCGCTTCGCACAGGACGCGACTACGAGCAACGCGGGATCTGCCGCTGTCGGAGCCGGGACCCAGGGAGAAGGGATAGAAATGTCCGCTCCCCCCGCTGCTTCTACGGCAGCGGTCTCGCCTGCGACCACCCAACACTACCCGAACCCACCATCAGCTGCAGCCTCCACCATTCCATATGGTGCGTCTCCACCTTCTGCCGCACACTCGGACAGAGCAGCTGCTGCAGAGCAGTCTCAGCAGCATCAGCCTTTGCTTCCGACGGCGGAGAACGCAGCGCTCCAGACTGACCCAGCCCAGGCGGCGGTCAGGGAGGAGGAGGGGGACGACGATCGCGACGAAAAGGACCTCAAGACGTGGTTACTGGAGATCAATGAGGCCGACAGCGATGAGGGCGATCTGCTTCCAGACGTGCCCTGCGAAGAGGACTCCGGAACGGGCGGGGATTCGTTCCTGGCCGCCGACGAGCCTCTCAGCACGATCTCGAAAGCACTCACCGACCTGAGCGTGCAAGATATGGCAAAGCATGCCATTGACATAATCAAGGCAAAGAGGCAGGAGCTGACGAGCCTCCATGATTTGGGTTGCTTCCGCAGATTCCGGCGGAACTTGGCGAATAACATCGTGGACACCATGTGGGTCTTGAAGTGGAAGTACAAGGAGAACAAGCACTTCATCAAGGCCCGACTCACGATGCGTGGCTTCAAAGACCACGACGAAAACTTGGCCACTTTCGCCGGCACGGCAACTCGATGGGGCCAGCGCGTTGTGAATGCCATCGCAGCGCAGCAGGACGATTGGGCACTGTTCAGCTTCGATGTCAGCGCCGCTTTCGCGAAGGGCCTGACCTTCCAAGAGCTTTCTGAGTTAACAGGCGAACCTCTTCGCGTTGTGCAGTTCGAGTTGCATCCTGATGATATCAAGTTGTTGAGAGAGATTCCTGGCTACGAGGATTTCGACCCCAGCACAGAAGTCATCCAGATGGCCAAGGCAGTGTATGGCCTGAAGGACGCACCGCGAGCATGGCGCAAGAAGTTGCACTTGATCCTCGAAAGTTTCGGCCTCGAAGCCTTGTACGCGGACCCACAACTGTACGTACTCCACGACACGAGTGTCAAGTTGAACATGATTCTCAGTGCGCACGTTGACGACTTGAAGGGTGGAGCCCCGAAAACGGTAGCTATGGAGCTCCTCAAGCACTTGGAGAAACACGTGGGCACTTGTACACAGGAGTGGGCCAACTTCACACACGTTGGCATCGAGCACGTGACCAGAGCAGACGGCATTTACACGCACCAGGAGAAGTATGTGGCTTCCCTCAGGGAGATCGACAAGAAGTTCTATGCTGAATTGCACGACGAGCAGGCAGTCAGCGTTGAGGCGAAGAGCCACTTCTCCACCCTCCTTGGCGGTGTCGCCTGGCTCTGCCTCACAATGCCGGCCATAGCGGTGTACGTGCAAGCACTACAGCGACGCGGAGCCGAACCGAGAGCACAGGACCTGAAACGCTTGAACCTTGTCTTGCGGTGGGTCCGCCGGCACAAGGTCGGCATCCTGTTCAGAAAACTGCCAGGACGCCTCCGACTTGTTGGGGTTACGGATGCAGCCTTCAAGGCGGTTCCGGACGAGTCATCTGGACTTGCACTCCGCGGCTGCGTCATCATCCTCAACACGGATTGCGATTCGACGCCGGCGTCTCCAGGTGGGGCGTGCAACATCTTGGAGTTCCAGTGCCGGCGCCAACGCCGAGTAGTTCGTTCGACCTTCAGTGGCGAACTGAATGGGTTGGTTGACTCCCTGGAGATTCTCCTGGTTATCCAGATATGCTTCCACCAGATTTACCACGGCTGCGCGGCGACAGCCAAGAGCCTGGCGGACGACTTGGACAACGGACGACTCCAACCTCCAGTAGACGCAGCAGTTGACGCCAGGAGCGTGTTCGATTGCTTGGCCGCCACAGACGTGGGCGAACTCGTTGAGGGCAGTCTTAAGCTGCACGTTCTCTCTCTTAGGGAGCGCCTGCAGTCTGGCACCCTGCGGCGCCTCGTCTGGACGGACACGAGGGATATGTTGGCGGACGGCCTCACCAAAGGGTCAGTTCCTCGTGACCAGCTGATTGCTGTCAGCAACAGAGGCGAATACCGCACAGCGCACGCCACGGCCAGCACGACCGTGAGGAACGGCCGCAAGCAGACCACTGGCAGCACGGTAGTACGAAACACTTGAGGCAATTGAAAAGTTGTCTCATCACCAGCGGCAAGTGAAAAGTTGTCGCAAAGAAAGCCGCACTTGCGCCAGGGGAGCTCCGGCGAGTACGGCGGCCCTGCAGTGAAGACGCGTAGGGTTCCGGGCATAGAGATGTGCCTGTAGCAAAGACCTGTCTAGGTCAACCCCTGCATGGGAACATGTAGGGTCAGACACGAAACTGTGTCTGCTGAGGGGTGTAATTCGTAGGAACTGACAGCCATGACATAGGCTGTCTGTGTAAAATAAACAGGCAGCCGGCAGTCATGAAATAGACTGCCTCGCCTGTCTCTCTCTTCCTCGTCCTCCCCTCCCCTTTGCTTGTCGTGAGTAAGATGTCACGAAGCAGGCAGCAATGATGAGGTACCATGTGATAGGTATCAGCTGTGTGTAATAATCTCCATAGCAGCAGTGTGGGTGTTATCCTAGGTAACTGCCGGAGAACAGCTAGGCGGGGCAAGTGACAGCCTGCCACGTGCAGGAGCGTGGGCATTGAAAAGTGCCCGCGTTCCATATAAGGCATCGCGACATAGATGTCGGTTTCACAGATAAGGTTTTCGACGCGCGGCACTTTCGGTGTTTTTCGGGCGCGTGGAGGCGTGGCGCTAAGCAGGAGGAGAGTGGATCGGGAGATTTACACCCCCGGCCCCTTCGGTGCTTAGCATTCCCCCCTCCGCGCGCGCCTCCGTCGCAATTTAGCTCGCGAGGCAAACCGCTCTTCGCCAGAGGAGTGTAGCAAAGCATACAGCAAAACCATTTCTCTTCCACATCTTACTTTTACCATCCATCTCTTGATATTCTTCTTATTCTCCCACTTCGTCTTGAAGATCTTCCTGGCGGTCTTCTCTGCGAAGCGCCGGCTGGCGCTCCAACTGGGTTCGACGAGGAGGATGAGCAGGGGCATGCGGTGCCAGCCCGGACAGCGAGGCGATGCATGCGGGAGACCTTAGGCGCAGCCCTGGCGTGCGCGGAGGCCCGCCTCAGCTTCGTGATCGGTGACTTCAACTGGGCTGCGGACGACCTCGCGCGGATCTGCACGCGCGGATCTGCACGCGCGCGACCGGCCTGAAGAAACCCACTGGCGGCAGCTTGTCCACCCTCGTGGGCTCCGACTGTGGCGGCATCCGGCGTACACATTCCAACAAAACGACACCGCCTCGAGAATCGATCGGTGTTATTCCAACCTGCGCCCGAGCCACTGCTTGAATGAGCGCGTGGCCGTGCTTGTTGGACAGTGGGTGCCTGACCCTCGACGCACCGGGCCCTTACGGTGCACCGCGTGGGCAAGCAGGATTTCGCGCGGCCGGCGGCAGGGCAGCGGCCCCCGCCGGAGCTCGGCCGGGATCCGGCATGGCAGGCCCGTGCCAAGCTCGTCTTTGTTGACAAGTTGACGTCGGGAGGCACGGCTGCAGGCTCAGCGCTAGGTCGGCTCCGGCTTCTCAAAGAGGCCATGGTCGAGGCTGCCGCGGGGCTCCGGCGGGGCCCGCCGCGCGCCGTCGAGGACGACGACGTGGCCGCCCAGCTGACCTGGACGATGCGTTGCCTCTGGCACTGGAAGGCGGGCCAGTGGCACCTCGCGTGCAAAGCCCAGGCTGCATACCCTGCTCTTCGCCGCGCTGCTGGCTGGCAGCGTTCGGCCGCAGTCCAATGGCTTCGCGACCATGCCCTTGACCTTGCCGTCAAACAGGCGCGACAAGAGCTGGAACAGGTGCAGGCTGCCCGGCGTCGCGGTGATCCAGAACCCACTCTCCGTGGTTTGCGGCAGCGAGCGATGGCCACGTTGCGACACGGCCTCGAGCGGAGGGCCACATCCAGGCGGTGGAACTCACCGGTGGCCAGGCCACTTCGGACCCGCACCTCATGGCCTCGACGCTGGCCCGCCACTGGGGCCAGGCCTTCCAGCGGAAAGGAACCGATCGCACCGTGGACCTCACCACCTGGACAGCGCAGTTGCCTCAACTCACGGACCGTACCCAGGACTGGCATGTCACGGTGGAGGACGTGAAGCAGGCGGTCAACTTGTCGGGCTCGTCGGCCCCTGGCCCCGATGGCATCCCTCACTCCTTCTGGAAAGGCATCGGGGAGACCGGGCACACGGTGCTCTACGACTGCCTCGTCGCACTCATGGCGGATGGGTCGGCGGACAGGCTCGCGGCGGAGTATGGCTCAGCTGACGATTGTTTCGGCGCTTGCAACTTTAATGCGAGCTTGCTGGTACTGCTGCCAAAGAAGCCCGCCCGCGTCGACCCAGAGCTTGGACACGTGTACAGGCCAGAGGACACGAGGCCGCTGATGCTGGTGGACACTTCCAACCGCATTCTGGCCAGCACGCTCCGGCTGAAGATCGAACCAGCGGTGGAGGAGCTCGCCAACGATTGCCAGCGGGGTTTTCTGCAAGGCAGGTCCATCCTTGCCAACATAGTCGAACTCGAGGCCGTCATGCAAGAGGCTGCCCTCACGTGGTCCCAGCCCACGGCGTGGCTCCTTGACATGAAAGCCGCGTTCCCGTCGATCGAGCATGACTTTTTGCACAAGATGCTGGAGTTGAGCGGGCTTCCACTGCCGCTGCGGAATGCGATCCGGGCCCTCTACGCGGAACAGAGCTGCTGCCTGAGGATGCACGGGGAGCGACTGGGCGGCTTCCGGATCTTCACCGGGATCCGACAGGGATGTCCATTAAGTCCTCTTCTTTACGTTCTTGCCACAGAAGCACCCAATCAGGCGCTTGTCCTGATAGGCGGGCGCGCTGCCTACAGAGCGTACGCTGATGACTTAGCGCTAAGGCGGCCTGATACGCCGAAGCCGCGTCAAGCGGCACTTCGACTTGCTGGCGAGAGCTTCGGGCCCCCACCTCAATCTGCAGAGATCGGTGGTCATACCGCTTTGGGAGTGGCGCCTGGACGCGGCCGCGCAGGAGTGGAGCAATCACATGCCAGAGTGGAGCAGCATGCGGGTCTCGCACAGTGGCTCATACTTGGGCTTCCAGGTTGGCCCATTGGCAGGTGAAGATGCTTGGGCGGCGCCGGTTAAAAAGTTTAGAGAGGCCGTAATTGTTTGGGCGGAGCGGGGGTTGGGGATGTGCCTCACCGTGCTGGCCTACAACACGTACATACTCCCTAAACTGATGTATGTAGCACAATTTCAAGGCTGCTTCAAAGACTGGCCAGCCACTGAAGCATGGGCTATCCAACGCCTCTTCCCTGGCCCAGCAGGGTGGCTACCGAGCTCGATCGCGCAGTGCATGCAGGACGAATTGGGCATGCCGACGCAGCTACACTCGCTGACCACCGCCGGCCCAGCAGCCCAACTCCGCGCAGCGACCTTCGGAGGCGATCGCGGTCAGCAGCTGCGCCCGCCTGCGGTTGCAGCCGCCGCGGGCCCGCCCGCGCGGCAGGCTGGCCACAATCTCGACGCTTGGGACGTCGAGTGGCGATGGGCTGCCTGGTTTCGCCACGGGCCGGCGCAGCGGCTGCTGCAGGCTCAGGCGGCTCTCGCGCGCGACGGGATCACGGCCGACACCGTTCTGGAGGCCTCCCTGGGTGCTACCCCCCGGCCGGTCACAGCAGAGCGTTGGCGGCGAGCGCGCCGGGCGCTTCAGTCGACGGCCGCGCGGCTTCTAAGGCAGCGGCTATGGCTCCGCAAAGGTCAATGGGACTTCCGGTGGAAGCTGGAGCAGTGGAGCCTGGGCCCCTTGGAGGGCCGGCGCGTGCTGGTTTGCAAGAGGGTGATGAAGACACTGCCCAAGCGGCTCGCCCCTCAAATCCGCGCGGCCGTCCTCCGCACCTGGCTGAACGGGTGGTGCACAGCTCGGCGCTTTGGCTCGCGTGGGCATGCCTGCCGGTTGGGGTGCGCCGCAGGCGAGGACTGCCTCCGCCATTATGTACGCTGCCCGGTCCTGTGGGAGTTCGGTTCACGCCATCTCGGCCTGCATGACCCAGGGAACTCGGACGGGCGCACGCAGGCATCTCTGTTGTGGGAGACGGGGTGCTCGCAGGAACGCCTCGTGCAGTTGGCGACGCTCGTGGCCGTCGCCTACCAGACGCACAACATCCTCGGGCATCGCCGCGGCGGCCCGCTTCATGCCCGGCAGCTCCTCGTCCAGGTGCTGCGGGAGATGCGCGCGCAGACTGGGGCGGGCGAGCTCTGGGCGCAAAGTTTTTTTTTACGTCTCTTGAATTCAGTCCCCTTCTCCTCCTCCTCCTCCTCCTCCTCCTTCCCCCCCCGTCGCATTTGTAATTTAGTGCATGTCGGCCCCATCGTGGCCGGACCTCCGCCGGTCCGTCCGGCTCGCGGCCTTCTGGGCGGCCTCCTTTGGTCCGCTGCCCCGTTGGCTTGACGGCCCCGGAACCGTATATTGCATATTACCTTGGTTTGCTTTGCGTTGTTTCACTCGTCGCACTGATCGGGGTCGTGCGCGTTTCGCGTCTCCTTTCCCTCCTCCTCCTCGTCGTTCCTCCTCCTCCTCCTCCTCCTCCTCCTCTCCTCCCCTCAGACAAATGCAACAAGGAGGTTGCATTTGAGTCGCGAATTATTCCTCATCTGTAGTGCCACCCGTGTGCTGCTGTTCCCTGCTTTGAACGGGGGTCCAGGGGCATGGAGTGCCCGGCATGGTGCAACAAGGAGGTTGCATTTGAGGCGCGTTCCATTCCTCATATGTAGTGCCACCCGTGCTCTGTTGCACCCTGCTTTGAAAAAGGGGTCCAGGGGCATGGAGTGCTCGATATGTTGCAACAGCGAGGTTGCCTTTGAGACGCGTCTTTTTCCTCATCCGTGGTGTCATCACGCTTTGGGAACAAAGACGAAACGAATATCGTGCGCTGGGAAAAAACTATATGAGTTTTCAGACATACATGTATGATATGCCATTGTGATGTCGCAGACGCCTACGGCGAGCCACCGCTGCCTGTTGGCAACGCCTATGTTGCCACACGTTGGACCGACGTCTTGCCGAGCAAGTGTTGAAGCCCTTCGGGGAACACTCGAGGGTCCCTCCTGGGGCCTCCTGGGGGCTTTGGGGAGCCGCTTGGGGGTCTCTTAAGAGGCTTCTTGGCTTTCGAAAGCCGCCTAGGGGGCCTCTCAAAGCCATGTTGCGGCCCTCTTTGACTCTTCGTGGCCACCAGCCCCACCAGTCCACCAGAGTGAGGAGGAGGAGGACGAGTACCAGAGCGTGTGCGAGGTGACATATTTTTGCCTGATTCGAGTGAGTGGCCGAACGGCCATTCATCGTCCCTGGGTGCGTGGCTGAAGAGGGATTCCGTGGCCCAGCGTGCCGTTGTTTGTGGAGCCCCCATCGCGTATTCTTGGTGTTCGTTGGTAGGTTCTCCCTTCCCTCTTCTCCCTCTCCTCTCCTCGTCGTTCCCACCGCCGTCTCTCGCCCCCCCTCCTCCTCCCCCCCCTCCTCGCCCTCCTCGCCCCCCTCGCCCCCCCCTCGCCCTCCTCGCCTCCCCTCGCCCCCCTCGCCCTCCTCCTCCCCCCCCCCTCCCCGCCCCTCGCCCTCCTCGCCCCCCTCCCCCCCCTCCCCCCCGCCGCAGGCGAGTGGCCGAGGCGGGGCTGCCCGAGCGGCCCGCGGCGGAGGAGGTCCAGGCCGCCCCTGCCGCAGGCGCGCCCCGGCGCCGCCAGCGAGCCCCCGGTTCGGGGAGGGCGAGGGGGGAGGGAGGAGGATGTGGCGGGGCGGGGGGGGGGCAGTGGGGGGGGCAGGAGGGGGGGGGCGGGGTGGGGGGGGGGAGGAGGACGTGGCGGGGTGGGAGGGGGCGGGAGGGGGCGGGGAGGGTGTGGGGGGGTGCGGATAGACGGGGGGCGGCCCGGGGCGGGGGGCGGGGGGAGGGCGTGGTGAGATCGGGATCGGGAGCAGGAGATGGAGGAGCTGGAGGAGGAGAAGGTGGAGGAGGAGGAGGAGGAGGAGGACGAGGACGAGGATGTGGAGGAGGACGAGGAGGACGAGGATGTGGAGGAGGAGGAGGAAGTGCAGAAGCAGAAGCAGGAGCAGGAGGAGGTGAGAGGAGGTAAGGACGAGGGTCATCTGGTGGAGGAGGAGGGGGAGGGGGAGGGGGAGGGGGAGGAGGAGGGGGCGGAGGAGGAGGAGGAGGATGAGGAGGAGGAGGAGGAGGAGGAGGAGGAGGAGGAGGAGGAGGAGGAGCCCGCTACCGTTCTGCGAGCTTCGCTGGCTCTTGGGACCTGTTATTTTCGGTGCGTGCGCATTTTCCTAAATTCCCGCCCGCATGAAGAATGGAGACCCACCATCGCCCTCACTTTGCACGCTCTCCTTCCCCACCACGTGCGCTGCAGATCCATTGTCCGCGGACGTTGAAGCAAAAGCGTAAACCGTGGATATTCAGGAGGGGCTTGTAGGATTCCACCTTGGCGGCCAAGCCTCTCCAACCTCTGCCTACCGGGCCGTCTGGGACGCCACTACGACCAGTAAAGCGATAATATCCGTAAGGGCTTCGCCCCCTGCCGCCGGCCCCCTCTTTGGGAGAATGGGCCATGGAGGAGCGAAGTCATGAGGCTTTGGCTTCACCGTGAAGCAGCACCAGAACTTCATGCGAAGACGATGGGTAACTGGCAAGACGAATGGAGATTGCGAGTCTATTGTTGTACTCGCTGTTGTGTTTTCATTTGCTCCCGTATGCTGTGCCCAAATCTTCTCTCCGAATTTGAAAATGTTGGACGTCTCTTGTGTCCTGACCGCTCGGAAGTGCGTGAGGGGTGCCCCAGAATTTGAAACATGTGGCAAACATCGTCTGTGTTTTTGGAACTTGACCCTGTCGATCCGCGTGCGGGGTGCCACCGGATTTCAGACATGTTGAGGATCCCTTGGGTTTTCAGACCCTGACCCCGCCGATCTGCGTGAGGGGTGCCAGCTAATTTCAGAACTGTAGCAAATCCCTGGCGTTTTTGGACCCTGACCCCGCCGATCTGCGTGAAGGGTGCCACCGAGTTTCAGAAATGTAGCAAATCCCATGTGCTTTTGGATTCTGACCCCGCCGATCTGACTGAGGGGTGCCACCGAATTCCAGAAATGTGGCAAATCCTGTGTGTTTTTGAGCCCTGACCCCGCCGATCTGCGTAAGGGGTGCTTCCGAATGTCAGAAACGTGGCACATCCCATGTGTTTTTGGACCCTGACCCCGCCGATCTGCATGAGGGGTGCCAGCACATTTCAGAACTGTAGCACATCCCATGTGTTTTTAGACCCTGACCCCGCCGATCTGCGTGAGGGGTGCCACCGAATTTCAGACATGTGGCAAATCCCAGTTGTTTTTGGACCCTGACCCCGCCGATTTGCGTGAGGGGTGTCAATTGTTAGACATCCCAGCAATTCAGACAACACGCTCAGGGCGTGGTAAACCTGCCCGTTTGGGCCTCCCCCCTCGCGCGGTCCACCAACAAGGAACAGGAAGCAGCAAGAAACATAACTGTAACAGTGGAAACTGGAAGCTGCAACTGGTACAGGAAACTGCGAACCTTCGGCCTACAGCCTGGTGGCCCCACAAGGGGGCCGACGGATTTATTGGGCCTCTCCTGAGGCACGAATCCTCCTATGAGGTCCCATGAAGCTCCAGGATGCCCCGGGACGTCACGCGAGGCTCCAGGAGGCTTCAGGAGGCCACTCGAAACCCCAAGAGGCCCCAGGAGGCCCCAAGAGGCTCCTTTAGGCCCCAGGAAGCCCCAGGAGGTTTCAGGAGGCCCCAGGGGGCCCCAGGCTCATGCGCAGAGACGCGCTCGTACTACTGAGACTCATTCACACTCCAATGCATTCGCAGTTACATTTCATGACCACACCGTCACAACTCAAGCCCGCTTATATTGGGAAACTCTTGTGCCTAGACACTCACGGCGGACAGGTTCATGCGAATAGATGCACTTACAGGGGAGCTCAACGCAGTGACTATTGTGTGTGTGTGTTCGCCACGTCGGATCTCGGGTTGGACAATCAATCTGAGTCAGCATGCCAACCAAAACCTCCGAGGTCGAGGCCGTGACCATTTTGGCCCGAGACATTGTGGCAAGTCTTCAGGCGTTTGAAACCTGTGATTTGTGCCCACTGCCACCAAGCCACTCTTTCTCCGCCGTTGCCGCAATGAAAGTTGTGGTGCTTGCAGGAGCGTTCGCCATCCTGCTTGTCGGCCGCGGCTGCGTCGCCGCCGACGACCTAGCCGAGACTTTGGAGGAGCGCTGCCTGATGGATGACGATTCGCGCAACTGCGACGCCACGAACGAGGCCGACGGCGTAGGGCTGCTCCAGTCACGGGCGCCAGGCCCAGGCGAACCGCAACTCGCGAACATTCGGAAGAACGAGACGCAGGACCACAAACAATATGAGGAGGCGAGAGTGGAGGATGTGTTGATCGATGTCCAGAACTTCAACTCTGGCTACGTGCACCGCGGGTGGGTTAAATGCGGGTCCGAGTGCCCTGGAGCAAACACATTTTGCTGCAAAGACTCTCAGTGGAAATGGGATACTTGCTGCACTGGTAATTCTTATGGGAGCTACTTCATTATTCCCGGATATCGATGCCCCTCACTTAAATGGAACACTTGCACGAGGGGGTATTGTTGTGTGAACAACAGGTGCAGCCCGTGCTAGTTCAGATGTCCTCCTCTCTGCCCCGCTCGGTTTAACGTCCTGCCCGTTAGTCTGAGAACCTTTTATGTAATCAATGGTAGTGCCAGAAAACAGACGCCACAAGTGCGGCCACAAGGGCAGCCATAACCGTGCGGATTTGTGTTTTTATCGAGGGTGTTTCGCGGCAGCTTGTATGTATCTTTCAATTCAGGCTTCTCCAGCGTTGCCACGCAGAGGAAGGTGTATGTCTCCTTCCGAGACAAGATTTCATCCGCGTCTTCCCTCCTCTTCTTCGTCATCCTCCTCGTCCTCCCTCTCCTCCTGCACCTCCCTCCCCCTTTTCCTCGTCCCTCCCTCTCACCCTCGCTCGCTCGCCCCCTCACTGGAGAGGGGGGGGGCAGAAGGGGGTGGAGAGTGAATGGGGGAGGGGGCGAAGGGAGGCAGGGGGTGGGCCAGGAGGAAAGGGGTGATAATGGGTGGGTCGGGGAGAGGAGGGGAGGGGCGGGCAGGCGATGGGAGGGGAGGGCAGGACGCGAAGTGTGGATCTTGTCCACAACCATCCCCGATAGGGGTTGCCGGCCCTCGACCAACAAGGCTCCGAGAGGGGCCTGGGAGCGTTCGTTTTGAGGGCCCCTCAAAACGAACACTCCCAAACCCGTCTTGGGGCCCTCTTGGAGCCGTCTTGGGCCCATCTTGGGCCCATCTTGGGGCCCTCTGGGGGCCCTCAACGTCTTGCGGCCTTCCAGGGTCCTCAGACTCTTCCAGAACGGCTTGTGAGGGCTCCCAGAGGGCCCTAAGAGGGCCCCAAGAAGGCTCCGAGAGGGGCCTGGGAGCGTTCGTTTTGAGGTCCCCTCAAAACGAACACTCCCAAGCCCGTCTTGCGGCCCTCTTGGAGCTGTCTTGGGCCCTTCTTGGGGCCCTTTGGGGGCCCTCAAGGGTGTCTAGGACTCTTCCAGAACTGCTTGGGGGAGCTCCAATCGGCCCCCGAGAAGGCTCCGAGAGGGGCCGGAAAGTGTTGTTTTGAGGGCGCTCAAACCGAACACTCCCAACACACGTCTTGGGGCCCTCTTGGAGCCGTCTTGGGCCCATCTTGGGGCTCTCTGGGGGCCCTCAAGGGCGTCCTTGTGGCCCTCCCAGGGCACTCGGACCCTTCAGAACGTTTTGAGAGGGCTCCAAGAGGGCCCTGACAGGGCCCCAAGAAGGCTCCGAGAGAGGCCTGGGAACGTTCGTTTTGAGGGCCCCTCAAACCGAACACTCCCAAGCCCGTCTTGGGGCCTCTTGGAGCCGTCTTGGGCCCGTCTTTGGGCCCTCTGGGGGCCTTAATGTTGTCTTGTGGCCTTCCCAGGGTCCTCGGACTCTTCCAGATCGGCCTGGAACGGCGGCTTCCCAAAGCCCGCGGGTGGCGTCGGGATCTGTAGCCTTGTTGGCAGCTTCTTTGCAGCGCGGGACTGGTGGCCCGTCGGTTTCGCCACGCCATTTGCAGCGCGCGCCGCGTGGTAGGGATCGGCCGCCAGTGGCCGGACTTTGAGTTTTGGGGCCTCCGAGGTGGCTATAACCCCGGCAACAACCCCTGCCACAACCCTTGCCACGACCCGTCCCCGAGCCATGCATGTTGGCACTTTTGGTCCTCTTGTTCGGGTCGTTCTGGGTGTAGGCTCTTCGCTGGGAGAGGGGGTTACGGGCTAGGATCCGAGGACCCAAGCACGTCTGAGGTGAAGGTTAGCTCCAATCCCGAAGGGGAGACACGTGGCACCCACTGACATGTGTAACAAGAGTGTAATGCATGTGTACATGTGCACAGCATGGTAATCCAGACGTAAACCAGTACAAGCCTGGTGTAAGCCAGTGTAAACCAGGTGAAATCCAGCGTAAACCGAGTGTAAGCCAGTGTTAAACGGGTGCAAGCCAGTGTGAAGCGGATGTAAACCAGTGTAAACCAAGTATAAAACAGTGCAAAACCGTTGTAAACCAGTGCGAACTCTGTGTAAGCCAATGTACACCGGGTGCAAACTAGTGCAAACCGGGTGTAATCCA